CAGCCACAGAGAGGGGACTGTGATGCAAACAGAAAATGAAATGTTCCAGGGCCCACAGCAGACACACTTGGGACTGAAGTTCTACAACTCTGTTCCCAGTTCACGAGTGTTCTCTATTCTTAAAAACGGTGAAAAAAAGAGCAAAGATATAAATACAGATTAACTCTAAACTTTTTCTACCCGTTAGGAAAAGACTGGATACTCTCAAAATGACCACCTGCAATTAAAGCCACAATTAATTAGGAAGATGGCATTTCTCTCCAACCATATGGTGTCATTAGCTTAATGCCAGGTGCTTATTACTGAGAGTGGGAGCTCCCCAGGACCCTCTGGGCCCCTCCCTCCCTTCCCCATGGGTCTGCAGCAGAAGGAACAGAGAATTATGCCTTTCCATTCCAAAAACCTACCCACGCCCACCCCCACACCCCACACCAGGAACCTCCGGCTGGTTTCAAAATACACACAAGTTAAACTTCTAGGGCAAACCTGGACAATGACGGACTCAGACTCAGGGCTGGGAGGGAGGGGTCATGTGGGAGACTGACTGAGGAGGAGGGAGGAGCTTACATTAGAGGTCTCACAGATCCTTGCCTGCTCTAACTCAATCCTGTTAAAATTGTTCATGAAAACGCAGCGTTCAAAAAAACGCATCGTTCAAATACGGAACGTGTCCCCTCAGAGACAGAAAGCTTTCCAAAAGAGGAATTACATAGTCAAGAGAGCATTTACTTCCCATTGACACAGTATTTAGAATATCAGACTCTAGGCACACATCACAGCAATTAATACTCTCAGAGACAAAGGTAAGTAAACACAAAAATTTTAATTCACTCTATCCAACAGAAGCATGTGCAGACTGAAAGAGAATCGTGCCCCATAATACCCAGATATGTAGCACTCAAAGAAAGCCCATAAATGCTCCCACATGGCCTTTGTAAAAAAGAATTCTGGAGGGGCAAGTAACCCCCAACTTTCACTGAGAACACAAATTACATCAGAAATTGTATCCATTCAATCAGTATAATTGATTCTGAAATGTGGTTAAAATGCTCTACCCAATGGCTATTAGTTAATCAGCAGATCTATCATTAGACAGTACTGAAATGGTTGCCAGTGGCCCATCTGATTTTTCTGAAAATGTACACGAATAGCATGTACCTTTTTTTCAGACAAAATCCCTTAAGTGTCAACTATTATTGCTTCAGAGTCCCAAATATTGGGAGAGGAAAGGGGAACATGTCGATTCGAACCTTTTTTTTATAAAACTTTTTATTAAGTGAAGAATTTAGAAACAAACCTCTTGGTAAATCTTCAACACGTTTACGTGCCATGGATTTGGGCAGCTGTTTCTTCTCATTTTGAGGCCTGCCTTATCAGCAAATGGGAGTCCCCAAAGCTGTACTCAATCAACGAAATTAAGGCGACGCTACTCTGAGGAGGCAGTTCTGCCTCAGTCGTTTTCTGAGTATCTTTCAACCTGAGGGGCTCATCTTCTGACACTATATGCAGCAATGTCCCACCGCTGTTCATAATGTTTCCACTGGAAGTTCTGCTAACACCTGCCTACTACAGGGGTATCTGAAATACCAGTGGTTATCACTTCCAGCTTCGCAGGAACCCATGAACCACCACAGTATGCCACACTGACCGATGCGTGGTGGAGATAACATCCTAGGCATTAGTGAGCTGAAATGGAATGGTATTGGCCATTCTGAACTGGACAATCTTATGGTCTGGCCCAGAATCGGGCAGTTTCATTTTGCTGTACATAAGATTACTGTGAGTTGGTACCGATTCGATGACACCTAACAACAACAATGGTCTGCTATGTTGGGAATGACAAATTGAAGAGGAACCACGGTGCATTCACTGCCAGAAAGAACATTTCAAGCTCGGTCCTGAAATACAACACTGTCAGTGATAGGAAAATACCCACACACTACTAAAAGAAGATCAGTTAATACAAACTTCTTTAGTTAATAACCAGTGAATTACTGGTAACTGGAATATGACAGTTGGAAACAAGGGAATTGGTACATGGAAAATATGGCCTTGAAGACAGAATTGATATCAGAGCTCTTAAGATAGAACTCTGAATGACCAACGTCATATTCGTCGCAAATATCTTTTTCAACAACATAAACAGTAATGATATACATGGTTTTCACTGGATGTGAATACACAGGAATTAAACTGACTGCATCTATGGAAGCAGCTCAATATAATCAGGCCCCAAAAAGGCCAAGAATCAACTAACAGCTCCTTATTTATAAGAGCGGATGGTGAGACTTTGTTTCACACACTCGGGACCTGTGCACACCATCAATTGTTCGTGTGCAAGTTCAAGTTCAAGCTGAAGAAAATTAAACAAGTCCATGGAAACCAAAGTACAACCCTGAGTACTATCCCACCTGAACTTAGAGACCATCTCAAGGACAGATTTGAAGCAATGAACACTAATGATCAAAGACCAGACACGTTGTGGGATGATTTCAAAAACATCATACAGGAGAAAAGCAAAAGGTTAATAAAAACTCAGAGTTACACAACAAACAAACACCAAATTGGATGTAAGAAAAGACTCTGAAACTTGCTCTTGAATGTAGGCAGAGTAGCTCAAGTAAAAGGAAGAAGTGAAGTAAAAGAACTGAACAGAGCATTCAAAGAGCAGTTCAAGAAGACAAAGGAACATATAATGAAATATGCAAAGACCTTCAATTATAAAACCCAAAGGGTTTGAAAATTGAAGGATTCTATGACCAAAATCTTGAATAACACAAGAGTATCAAAAGATGGAAGGAATGCACAGTCATTGCACCAAAAAGAAGGGTCAACATTCAACCATTCCGGGAGGTACCCTAGGATCAAAAACTGATGATACTGAAAGAGGAGGTCCAAGCTGCACTGAAGGCTTCAGGAACTTAAGAAATACCAGCTGAGATGCTTCAACAAAGTGCAATGCTGGAGGCACACACTTGTCTACGCCAAGAAACATAGAAGCCAGCTACTTTGCCCACTGATAGGAAGAGATCCATATCTGTGCCCATTCCAAAGAAAGGAGATCCAATGGAATGCTGAAATTATAGAACAATATCATTAATAACACGTGCAAGGAAAATTTTGCTGAAGATCATTCAAAACTAGTTGCGGAGTACATCTACAGGGACCTACCAGGAGTTCAAGGAGAGGACGTTAGATGTGGGATATAATCGCTGATGTCAGATGGATCTTAAAAGCAAGACAATACCAGAAAGACGTTTACCTGTGTTTTATTGACTATGCCAAGGCATTCAACTGTATGGATCATAACAAACTATGGATAACATTTCAAAGAAAGGCAATTCCCGAACGCTCAACTGTGCTCATGTAGAACCTGTACAAAAACCAAGAGAGTGCTCAAACATGGGGTTCCTGAAAGGCCCCAAATCAGAACAGGTGTGTATTCTTTCATCATACTTATTCAATCTGTATGCTGAGTAAATAATGCAAGAAAATGGACTATATGAAGAAGAATGGGGCATCAAGACTGAGGAAAGACTCATTAGCAATCTGCAATATGTAGACGACACAGCCTTGCTTGCAGAAAGAGAAGAGGTTTTAAGTGCTTACCGGTGAAGATCAGAGATTACAGCCTTCAGTATGAATTGCTGCTGCTGCTGGTGGTGGTTGTGGGCCGTGGAGTCGGTTCCGACTCATAGCGACCCTGTATAGGGTTTCCGAGGCTGTAAATCTTTACAGGAGCAGAAAGCTTCATCTTTCTCCCGTGGAACCACTGGTAGTTTCAAACTTGTAACCACTATGCCACTCTCAGAGCGCCTTCAATACAAATTACGCCTCAACATAAAGAAAACACAACATCACACTAAACAGAGAAAAGATGGAAGTTGTCAAGGATTTCACTGAACTTGGATCCACAATCAACACACATGGGAGCAGCAGTCCAGATATCAAAGGACATAGTCATTGGGCAAATCTGTGCAAAAGACCTCTTTAAGATGTTTAAAAAGCAAATTGGTCACAATGAGGACTAAGGTATATCTGACCCAAGTCACTGTATTTTCAATTCCCTCATATGAAATGAAAGCTAGACAATGAAAAGGAAGATCATAGTAGAATGGATGCACTTGAACTACAGTGAAGGTGAAGACTATTATATATACCATGGACTGCCCGAAGAATGAACAAGTCTGTGTTGGAAGAAGTACAACTAGAAAGCTCCTTAGAAGAGACGTTGGCAAGACTTGGTTTCACCATCACATACTCTGCAAATGTGGTCAGGAGGCAGCAGAGATGATGGTTAGTGAAAAAGAGGAAAACCTTCAATAAGATGGACTGACACAGTAGCTGAAACAATGATCTATACAATGGAAGAAACCTGGCAGTATTTCTTCTGATGTATATATGTGGAAGCTGTGGGTCTGGTCAGACTCCACTAACAATATGGCACATCAGAAACTGTTCACCAAGAATGAACATCTTAGAAGAATGAAAAGTAAAGTTTCCCATTCAGTGTCCTACACTTTCAAACTTAAAGTAACCAAGATTCTCCATTATTCAGAGTACAAATATAGAACATTTACTAAACCTTAACAAGATATCCTGTCTTGTTACTAAGAAATGGAGCCAATTCTATTTATTTCTTACATAGAAATCCACCCCACCTCCACAACAGAAAGCTCATTTGCTAGTTCCCCAAACTCAGCAAAGGGTGCATCAAAAGGTCAGTCGCTGGCGCCCCACTTGGTGACTGCACCCCACTGTGTGAGCAACCAGACCGGACACACCTGACAAGTGTCTGCCCACTTTCCTCTCTAGTCCACTCTCAGAAACGCGGATCTCAGGGAACGGAAATGCAAACGGATCTCTCAAAGAACTAACCGGAGCGCAAGGTAGAATTATATAACAATTTACCAGCGATAAGGCTTCCAAAAAACGAAAGTAGCGCGTTGAGGGGCAGGGATCAGGGGAAGGCGAAGGGGAGCGGTGTCGCCTCCACTTACTCGAAGGCGAAGAAGAGTCCGCTGGTGACCAGGATGAGGACGAGCGTCAGGTAGAAGACACCCGTCTGCCGGGCCATCATGATCCTCCCGTTGCAAAAGAACTTGTTTCGACCCGGGAACACCTCCCATTTCCTGCGGGCCGCGATTTTCCTCTTCTTGTGGGGCGACTCCATGGGGGAGGAGCTGTGGGTGCTGATCTGGCTGTACTCGCAGTCTGTCATGGGCCCGCCGCCGCCCGGAGGCATCCACGAGGGCAGCCGGCC